TGATTTGGGCTTTATATTCCAACAGTTTCAAGTTTTTTAAAAAACACGACTCTCACTTAAAACAATTTTAAAACTACTAACAAAAGAAATCCTCCTCATTAACACTACCTACCCTACCCTCCACCTTCCCCACAATATTTTTAAAAAATTAAAATTATAAAACAAAAGTAAGAAAATATTTTTAAAAAAAAAAACACAAAAAACAAAATGGTTCTTCTTTCCCATCTAATTTCGCACCCTACCACCGATCGCCACCACCACACATTCTCCTCATTCCAATGCAGCACCATATAGGGATTTAGCTTTTTTTTTTTTTAAATCAAATTTCGTGTTCCAATATTTTTTTTATTTCTAGCAAATTCACGAGTTTTTTTTAGAAATTTGACCATTTTTCATTTCTATCTTCTTGTTACTAAGTACATACGCATATATATATATGCATATATACTCATTGTATCAACTTTTAAATTTTGCTCTGATTTTGTTCTAATTTCTTTATCTTAGATGTCTAAAGATAGAATTCTTCTTCCATTATAGGGTTCATATAAAATCTTAATCCAAACTTCAATCCCAACTCTTCTAGTTCTAATTCAAACCCAACTAAAAGGAAAATAAATCTTCTTTTGGAACATGGATTTTTTTTGTTAATATGTTTCTTTTTGGCACTATTTGAAAATTTTAGAACTTTTTGACTGTAATTATATTTTTATATTATTTATTTATTTTCTATCTATTTATTTAAAGAAAGGGTAAATTAATCATTTTACAATGTTTTTAATCGAGAAAATAGGCAATGAGAATTTTTGCACAAAGAAAGATTGATCTGAGAGTTTAAATGCTAAAATTGAAACAATAGGGCGCACAACGAAGATAAACAATATGGATGTTTTGCACCAATTATCCATATTTGATGGAAGGTATTTATGAAATAAAACAAAAAATGACTAACTCTTCAAAAGAAAAATGTTGAAAGGAGGGTGCAACTGTCAAGCTTGGAACGACAAAAAAGATCTGCGCAATGAATATGGGGATGTTGTGTACTAATTACCCTAAATCATACACAAAAATCTACAATTTTATTTTCCTTTTAGTTGGGTTTGAATTAAAAGTCAATTCGTAGAATGGTAAAAGTTCTTCATTAACCTTTTTGCGGTGGAATATGATAGTGAAGTCGTGCGTATCTACTTTGTTGTCATAAATGTTTGCTATCGATCTTGACTTTGATTACAAACATATATAGATAATTTGACTACAGGACGACGTGCTTTCAACTTTTGTCCAAGCAAATCACAAATGATTTATAAAGAATAATATAATGATCCCAGAAAATATGTGAATAATAATAAACAGTAATTATGAATGATATTACTTAAATTAATGTTTTACTTTAATTGAATTTATAAATAATATATAATTTTGTTTGTCAAATGAAGGCTAAGTTTATTTTATTACACTATTTTCGTGCAAGTAAATGAATATTATCTTCCTATGTCATTTTTAAAACTATACAAGAATTTATGATTTTATCATAAAGTTTTTCGAAATTACACAAATTGAGAAAAATTATAAATGTAGGATGTTCTCAAAGAATTGTTCACATTTGAATATGTGTGTATTAGGGAGTTGCAAAGCAAAACCAATCCGTCTCGACTCGAAACAGACCGAACTAGTGTTTAGCGATTCTAGTTCCACTCTTCCGACATTTGTATATTCATATGAAAGATTTCGTAAAGAAATGATTGCATACGTGACTGAAGCAAAGATGCCGCTTACAATAATAGACTCAATATACTTTACCTTGCTCGTACAGAAATTACCATACATCTTCACTTGTAAATTTTGTGTGAAAAAATTCTTAAAACTTTTTTTCAATGCAACAAAGAAATGTAGCAATTACCCTATATCTTCACTTGTTTTACAACTTTTTTTTACATTTCACAAATATTTCATAAATATAGAATTTTTTCAATTTTTGTTGATTTAGTTTATTATATGGAGTTAAAACTTCGTCAATATTGGAAAAAATTGCCCTCTTTATTTCTTTTAGTTTCGATGATGGACATTCGACTTAATTTAACTAGCACAAAAGCTATTATAAAGCATATTTCAAATTTCATTAATGTGGAATTATAACATGCACATATAGAATATATGTTATGTGAAATATATAACTATTACGCTGAAAAATGAGTCAATGTAGTTCTGTTTCTCCAAATTCCTTTACAAGAAATATTTCAACAAATTCAAATGATATATAGAATTATTTAGATTCCAATACAAGTGTTTCATCATTTAGTTTTAATTCATCAATATCTAGAGCGATGGATGTCAGTGGTACAAATCTTGAAATTCTCTCTGAATTAGCTAAGTATATGTGCACGGATGTTCATAGTGTGTTACAACCAAAAGAATTACAAGAGTTCGGTCGTTATCGTGGTAGAGGTGTGACAAAACATAATATTCAATTGTATCAAAAATTGCACGTGATCTACTAATACATTCGGTGTCTACAGTAGCATCAGATGCTGCATTTAGTTTAGGTGGTCAAATTTTTAGCAGACAAATGATTAAAATTAAAAGAAGATATCTTGGAGGCTTTAATATGCGGAATTACGTATTTAAAAACAAATTGACAATATAATGGGCGAAGATAGCGATGTCAAAAAGGCTCATCGGCTCAAGAGACCCTTGCTCAACCCGAAAAAAGCCCTTGCTGGGCCGACTTGTGGCTCGTTGGCATCAAGCCGAGCCCCATTTTGGGGTGTCGGCTCGAGTCCGAGCTAGCCCGTGGCTCATCACTTGCCCGTGTCATGGGCCAAGCTGAATCTTCAAAAAAATTTAAAAAATACGGCTGCCTGCGTCTGTTTATTTTTTTGTTTTATTTTTTTTAAAAGTTTAGATGTATTTTTTATATATTAATATTTAGTTACTATTTATAATACATATAAATTGTACAAATTTTAAATACATTATAAAAAATTATAAATTTATAACGAATAAAAAAAAACACGAGGCGACTCGGCCCGCTAAGGCTCGAGCCGAAAGCTCTGACCCAACTTCATTTTTTTGGACTAGATTTTGTTCGGCTCGGGCCAAAAAAGTTCGGACATGTTTTGTTTGAGCCGAGCCCGAGCTTTGACTTTCGGCTCGACTCGTTGACATGGTTAAGCGAAGAGTTGCAGCAAATCAAATGATAGAATATTATAAGTTTTTAAATTGATTAGTTTAAAAACAAATACATAATTTTTTAATTTATTTGTTTCAAGAAAATTTTTATTTGTATACAATTTTAACTCCACTTACGTTGATTGTAGCCGATCTCAAGCCCGAAAAAATGATGAGGGTTGTAAAAATTAGATTTGTCATGAATTTTTTTTTTTAAAAAAAAAAAGAGAGAGTGAAAGCTCTGGTCGAGTCTAAATTTTTTGACGGCTCGGACTAGAAAAAGCCTAAACTATTTTTACTCGAACCGAGTTCGAGTTTCGAATTTCGGCCCAGCTAGTTGACATCCCCTATGCACAAGCCCCCCTTCCACTAAATAATTTTTTCTGGTCAAACAATGGAAGTTAGACATTGCTTGAAATGGAAGAGATTGTGAAGAATATGAACTGGACTATTGACAAAAATATATAATTACGAGATAAACGAATTTTTATATAGTTACCCTTAATGAAAAATTATGAGAAGTTGAAATTTTTATATATTGATAGATGACTTGTTAGAAAAGAAAATAAATTATAAAAATTCTTTTCTTAACATAGAAAAAGTGGATTCTCCCTCTTTTTTCCCTCTCTCTGTCTCCTTTTAATTAGCTGGTTCATTTTAGGCTAAGGTAAAATGTTCGTCTGGACTAGAATCCCTTTGCATGCTTTCAATTCGTGCTTCAAGAGCTGTAGTTATTGCAGTAAAAATGCTTAATAGACTGCTGGTAAGATCAGAAGATTGACTATGATATATGCTCACGTGATAAGATCATATATTTAATCACGGCATCTCGAATTTTGAATCACTCAAGTCATGTCGCCTTGGACATCGAATGGATAAGAGAGAGAAAACAGAGTGGATGGAAGGACTCACTTGACATTGGACGTGTCATGACTTGAGTGATTCGGGGTTTAAAATAATTATAATTTGAATGAATCATTCTACCACGTATAAATATATGTGTTACCACTAAATTTTTTCTTGAGAAATGGGCACTATTTTCAGATTCCATTGACTTATCACTTGAGTTACAACAAAGACCCTTGTTTGAGTCATAATGAAATTTTATTCTTATTTTTCTACTCATTTTCAATTATACATTTTTCAATCAAATAGTATTTTCCATCACGTCAATAATTTTTCTTTCTTTTTCAACCACACATTCTCCATCAATCTACTATTCCAGAATACATTTTTCCAAAATAATGTGGCTCAAACACACCCGTAGGGTTCAAAACTTGTGAATCACATTGTGATTTTTCAGAGGGAACTTGTGAGTTTTAGTAAAGCTGATTCGCTCGTTCAATTCATTCGTATTATGGACGGTCACCATATGCTAATCAGACATAAACAGAGTTCGGTTTTCAGTCGGACCATCCGGTCCGAGTATAATAACTATGATCAACATAAATTAATTGGATTTAACAACTAAAATGATTTTATATTGATTTTTCTCTTCTTAAATTAGCAGTTTAAGCTTCAATATAGTTGATATAAAACACAGTATATAGATAGAACGGCAACAAGAAGCACACTTCACGTAATAAAAAGTCAACATCACTTGACACAGAGATTTCGAATAACACATTACAATATCAATAAATATCTGAAATAAAAGTTTTAAAATTATGCAAGCGTGATTCCCATCTTACCTTAAACCATCAATTTGATAGCTAAAAAGTCAAATTGCGTAGCAGTTAATATAGCAAATCAAACCGATTTCATAGCGATGACCAATTTTGAGTCGATCTCAATCAATCTAATTTAATTTAATCAGACGTATTGCAACATAAACGGACCGTCGAGTTTCCATATCGACGAGTGGACAACATAACTCCTGTCCACTGTGGATAAGAGATCAATTTTATTATTTTAGTATCCGTCCACATATGTTTGTATTGTAAATTTTTAAGTGAAAATTACGTCAATAACAAAGTACCGAAAAGGGACCACTTGGGAAATATATTTTTTCTAAATGCTGAATTTTACAATTATAGCATGCCATTTTGGTCTATTTCTAGCAAATTGTTCTAATCCTAGCCCCTCTTTGACCGCATTTTCTGAGCATGAATTTGGAAAAAAAAATAATAATAATATTTTTTGAAGAATGTATAGTAAAAAAATAAAAGGATAGGCGATCGAAAATATTTTATAAAAAATGTGTTTTAAAGAATGAGGGCTCAAACATGAGCCGGTAAAGAATTTGCTCACCTGATAACAAATCTCCGAGTCTTCATGGAGAAGTGATATTCGTGAATAATTCCCCGTTTGGAAATAAAAATTAAAAACTTAGATAAGAATGTATTATTGAAAAATTGTAGGTCTAATGAAATATGTAATTAAAATTAAGTCCATGTTTGACAACCATTAAATATAATTTTTTTTTTGGAAAAAAGAAGTTTT